GGGCGTGCGAGTGAGTGAGACAGGAGTGTCCTCGCACTGGGGTGTTGGCAAGAGAGAGCGCGCGGGCGGGCCCGGGGGAGCCTGCTGGCGCACAGCATCGCGGAAGGGAAAAAAGTTTGCTGCCAGAGACGTTCGATCAGCGAGCGTCGCGGCGAAGCCGTGTCAAGCACCGTGCCAAACACGGCCAACGGCCTGCGAGCCGAGGTAAGGGCCGCCGCCAAGGACGGAGAACGCGTCTCTGCGCCGAGAGTGAGCCCATTACATCGCAAGAATAAGGATTTAGCCGTTGGATCGGCGTTATATGGTGTAACGCGGCCCACATAAGAAAGAGTAATAGCTTTCGTTACCAATGGCGAGCTCCAACATCGTCGAGAACCTATTCCGTCGCCCTTGGTCACGAAACTGTTGAGTGTTTGTGCTTTACCCCCCCCCCCTTTCCTCCGCCTTCCCCCGTCCTGTCAGGTGTATATGTGCCGAGAGCTGAGCGAAAGGGGGATGGGGTGAAATGCTTCGGAGTTGTGTGTACATGCGGTTAACCCGAGCAGTGCTGGGGACGTGCGACAAATGGGGCCCTTGTTTGATACTTCGTCAGCAGCACCGGCGACCCAACTACTCCTTCCCCTCTTCCCCCTCCTCGGCGGCAAAAACAAACTATGTGGCGGCGCGACAAACTAGCAGAGAAACAAGCACCGGGAGCGCTCCTGCAGGTGTGCGAGAAGGACTAGTCTTGCCCTCCACTCCGCCCCGCACCCCCCTGCCTCTCACTCTCAGCGCCACGACACACGTGCTTTCCTCTTAACACACGACCCCCCCCCCCTTCCCTGCTCTGCAATTTACTTCAACTCACCTCACATTTTTTTCTGCTGCAGGCTGAAGGGTGGCCTCGTGAGCCCCGTCCGCGAAGAAGACCAGCAGCACGGCGCGCCGCCCCCGGGTGAGCCCTCGGCCGGAGGTGCGGCCCCGCAGGAGCGGCCAGGGCCTCCGGGGGCAGCGGCGGCGGCGGGGGCGGGGGCGGCCAAGTGGAGGCCGCTGCCAAGGCTGGCCGGCGGCCTCGCCAGGGGAGTGGCCTCGAACGCGTCGTCCACATCCACCCTCGTCAACGTGAGTATCATCCATATGGATGTAGGGTCGGGAGCTGTGGAGCGGGGCGGGGGAACCAGGCAGCGGAGAGGGACTGCTTATCCATGAAATCGATGTCTCGAACTATGTTTAAATTATTCTTGACCAAAGTGGAATTCCTTCTACCCCTCTCTGCAACTCGCATTTTGCATAACTTGACGTTACCATCAGATTTGTTTTATTTTATTTTTGTTGTTAATTTTTTTTAACGAACCCAATTTGGAGGGGCGGAACAAAACGGCGTGGAAGATCTCCGTGGGAGCTCCATTTGAGATAAATCTGTGGCGCTATGATTGATCTCGGACCTGATTCCAGATGTAGTGCCTCCCCTCCGCCCTCGCTCCGCATTGTGCTCCGTGTTGCCACCCGGGCACGGCGGCGGGCTGGATGGCGGTGGGCAGGAAGCTCTCCCCTCTACCCTTACTCTGGTCTTCCTGCTCGACTTGAAGTCTGCGAGGCTTTCGCCCGCCAGCCTTGCCCTCTCAGCCCGGCCCGTCTCTCCCGTCGTCGCCTCGCCTCGACTCAAATGTCATTTCCGCTGCCACGCGCGTCGGGCAGAGCGGGGGAGGGACGGGGGGAGGGGGCTAGGGAGGCTCACAAGGCACTCGATAACCCGCCGCTCCTCTAACCTGGCCGTGTCGACCGCACCTGGCTCTCCAGTTCGTTCTCCAGCCTGCTCTCCGGTTTGCTCTCCAGCCCGCTCTCCAGCCATCCAGGAGCTACGCCACGTCGCGCCCCCAATACGTCATTCAGGGGGGAGGTGCCGGGCGATGAAGCAGGAAAACTCTGAAAGGGAGGGATGAATCATGCGGCAAGATGCGGGAGGGACGGGAGGGAGGGTCTTTCTCCCTTGACCTTCCCCTCGCTGGCGAGAAAGGATGGAAAGAGAGAGATTGACGGGGGA